GGGGGCCTCGCGCCTGGACCTCCCGGCCGAGCTCGGGGCCCCTCGGTGGTCGGCCGTGAGCGTCACCCCTTCACCAAAGAGGTAGCTCGCGTCTCGTTTTATAGTGCAGAATACGGACCAGAAAATCCTTTCCCTAAGAAATGTCCTCCTGCGTGGGTATCACTCTGTGAGACGCGTGTCGGGTAAAACGCAGATGGTTCTCCCGGCGCACTAACCGTATGAACGATGAAAAGCTGTAATAAACGACGCCGTCCCAGCCCCGACCTCGGCGTGCGTGGTCTGTTGTTACTGGGCTCTTGGTCGCGGGCTCATCCTGTAACTGAGTTTCCATAATGAGATTAGCAGGCCTGAGCCATTCTCCCTTCCTACTTTAAAGTTTAAAACCAAAGCACATTCTTTCTTCCTTTTGAAACTTAGGGAAAGACCCTGGCTTTCACTGTAAATATCGCCTCTGATGCTTGGTCAGCTTGGTGATTATTTTCATTCCCCCCACCCTTTCTTTCTAAGGATGGGGAGGAAGCTTTGCTTGGTTCAAACCATAGATCTCCAGAAGTGTCCACTGCGCGCACTTTTGACGTCAGAGTAAGACAGGGCAACAGTGGGAGGGCAGTTCTCACCGTACACAGAACCAACCCGAAAAGTGCTATTTTGAACCAGTCAGAAACTAGCTATTTTCGTTAATAAGGCCAATCAGAAGATTCTCTTTTCAGTCTTTCATTTGCCTGTGGGCACAACCAATCAAAAAACACTGGATCCTTCATTTACATGTAACAGGAAGCCAAATGAGCTTGATGGTGGGACAGTTTACAGTGTGACGCCAAGTGACTGTAGGACAGTTTCCCCAATATTTTATTCACACACACGAAAAAGAAACCCAGAAATTTTGGATACAAAAGACCTTCCTTTATCGTCTGGGCTGTGAGCCTTTTCACCTGCGCGCTCTCATTCTGCACAGTGTCCTTTTCTGTCGACAATAAATGCACACTTCGTTGCCTTTCCTGTCTTGTCCAATTCTTTGTTCAGGACACCAAGGCCCTGGAAAGAAGCCGCACAGGCCCCTCCATTGGTAAAAAGAGGACCTAAAACTTCACCCTCAGGTCATGCTGACAGCTCCATTTCAGAACATGCACATGAAGAGCCATCGAGATTGCTTCCTGAAGACAGACCCATGAATTCCTTCTCCTTGCCACTGCAGAACACCCAGCGCTTTTCATCCCATAAGCACCATAAACCTTGGGGAGGTGGATTTGAGCCCAGTCTTCACGCCTGGCCGCTTCATTCATGTAGCTGTTCTGCAGAACTCATCCCTTCAGGATCAGCTTGCTGGGCAATGATCCTCACGGAAGGCAGGCGGGGCCGTGGAAGGAGCATGGTCATGGACACAGGTGTGTTGCAGACCCTGTGTGTCACGAATAGGTGAGATTTTGACTAGGCCTTGGTTTACTCGAGGTGGAGAATGGTGTTGGTCACCTAACAAGGTCCAAGGAGGTTCCTGAAGCTGAGGTAAGGAACCTGACCCACCCTATCTGTAGAACAGTCTGACTCCCAGGGTGAAAAAGGACTTTTCAGGATGCATCAGTAGAGGTATGGGAAGGGTTAATTAGGCAGAAATAAGTATGTGCTCGAGAGTGAAGCGCAGAAAGATAATGGTCTACTCATAGGAGAAAGCTTATTTCACAGGTGAGAAGTGAAAAAGGACATTTGAAGAAAAAAGGAAGGAGGAAAGAAAAGAAAAGAAAGAGAGAAAGGGTCAAAACCATTTGCAGGTCAAAAGAAACTGCCCAGATTTGAATAAGAGGGGGAAATTTTAAACAACTGGCTCGGGCCCCAAAGTTGCAGTTTTTATTTTTTAAATTATGATTTTCCTGGTTTCTTTTCTATTTTTCATTTCTTTTGTCCGTCCTACCTCACTTCCCCCGAGACTTTAATCTCCTAAGGGATGCAGAAAGTTTAGCGGTCCATCTTCTTGAACCTGCTTCAATCCATGGAGGGACATTGATCTTGGCCAGCCAGCCTCTGAAAGCTCATCCTGAGTTATCTAAAGGAGACATAGGAATATCGGGTTCTATTGTCCACGGAGCCCTCACCTATCAATAGTGTGAAAAAGAGGGCACTGGATCAGGAACCACAAAAGAATTCCTACTCACAGTATCATAGCCAGAAAATAAAAACTTTTCCCTGCTGGATTGTTCCAGGGAACCAGAACACCACCCAGTGAGTGAACCTGAAGCCAGAGTCTAACAATGCACTGA